AACATGCGTCCCAGGCGCACTTTTCGGCACACCCCTCACGAGGACCGTGGCCCCGTAAGGGGGCCCCACCGAAGGCCGCCGCAGTGGCTGCGTCCACATGCGTCCCAGGCGCTCATTTCGGTACACCCCTCACATGCTTCGGACGGAGGGCAGGGTGGAGAATAATAATAATAATAAAACTAATAATAAAACTAATAATAATAATACCAATACTACTACTAATAAAAATAATAATAACAATAATAATAATATTAATAATAATAAAACTAATAATAATACTAATAATAATACTAATAATAATAATACTAATAATAATACTAATTATAATAAAACTAATAATAATGATCATAATAATAGTAATACTCATAATCATAATACTAATAATAATGCGAATAATAATAATAATAATAATAGTAATAATAAGAATAATAATAATAAGACTAATAATAATAATACTACGAGGAAGAAGAGGAATAATAATACTACCAACAATAATGAGACGAAGAAGAAGAAGAAGAACACGGACGACGTCGCAGGTCGAGGCCCCCTCCTTCGTCTCATCCCCCTCGCGGCACTCGCAACTGAATATGGTTGGCTCCTTCGTCCGGCAAGTTGTTATTCGTTGGGTTGACCTCTCGGGGGCAGCCGTGGGAGGCTATGAACCCATCTTAGCGTCGTCTTGGGGCCCCTTGGGACCATGTTGGAGGCCGTCTTGGGCCAACATGGTCCATCTGCCCAGACATCCGACCTTTCCCCAGGGCCAAGAATCTCCCGTCGTGATTCTTGCCGCGCCGCGAAGAGGCCAGGGTGGCGCCATTCTGGAACCATGCCTTGCCTTGTGCGGCCTTGTCCGGTCCAAGGACGCAGGATCAGTCAGCATTGCACGGGGGCCACGGTGGACGCGTAGAGGGCAGCAGAACGACTCCGAAAATTAGCCTGGCGAAAGACCCAACCATATGCAGTTGTGGGTATCGCATTCGGGGAAGCCCCCTATGGGGCCACGAAACGCTGTACTGGGTGTGGGGGGGACGCATGCGAACTGCGCCACTGGGACCTTCGGTGGAGTTCTCTATGGGGCCACGAAACGCTGTACTGGGTGTGGGGAGGACGCATGCGAACTGCGCCACTGGGACCTTCGGTGGAGCTCCCGATGGGGCCACGAAACGCAGTACTGGACGCATGCGAACTGCGCCACTGGGACCTTCGGGGGAGCTACCTATGGGGCCACGAAACGCTGCCCTGGGTGGTGGGGGAAGGGGGGGCGCATGCGAACTGCGCGACTGGGGCCTTAGATGGAGCTCCCTATGGGGCCACGAAGCGCTGCCCTGGGTGGGAGAACCGCCTGCGGGCTGTGCCACTGGGACCTTCGGTGGAGCTCCCTATGGGGCCACGAAGCGCTGTCCTGGGTGGGGGAACCGCATGCGGGCTGTGCCACTGGTACCTTCGGTGGAGCTCCCTATGGGGCCACGAAGCGCTGCCCTGGGTGGGGGAACCGCATGCGGGCTGTGCCACTGGGACCTTCGGTGGAGCTCCCTATGGGGCTACGAAACGCTGCCCTGGGTGGGGAACCGCATGCGGGCTGTGCCACTGGGACCTTCGGTGGAGCTCCCTATGGGGCTACGGAAACGCTGCCCTGGGTGGGGGAACCGCATGCGGGCTGTGCCACTGGGACCTTCGGTGGAGCTCCCTATGGGGCTACGAAACGCTGCCCTGGGTGGGGGAACCGCATGCGGGCTGTGCCACTGGGACCTTCGGTGGAGCTCCCTATGGGGCTACGAAACGCTGCCCTGGGTGGGGGAACCGCATGCGGGCTGTGCCACTGGGACCTTCGGTGGAGCTCCCTATGGGGCCACGAAACGCTGCCCTGGGTGGGGGAACCGCATGCGAACTGTGCCACTGGGACCTTCGGTGGAGCTCCCTATGGGGCCACGAAACGCTGCCCTGGGTGGGGGAACCGCATGCGAACACCCCCACTGGGGCCTTCGGTGGAGCTCCCTATGGGGCTACGAAACGCTGCCCTGGGTGGGGGAACCGCATGCGGGCTGTGCCACTGGGGCCTTCGGTGGAGCTCCCTATGGGGCTACGAAACGCTGCCCTGGGTGGGGGAACCGCATGCGGGCTGTGCCACTGGGACCTTCGGTGGAGCTCCCTATGGGGCTACGAAACGCTGCCCTGGGTGGGGGAACCGCATGCGGGCTGTGCCACTGGGACCTTCGGTGGAGCTCCCTATGGGGCTACGAAACGTGTGAGGGGTGTGCCGAGAGCAGAGGCAAGGAGGGGGAGGAGGGAGGAGGGCGAGGAGGGGGAGGAGGAGGAGAGGAGGTGGGACGCGGGGCGCTGTCTCTTCAAAACGAGGACCCAACACCACAGGATGGTTGGGAAAAAGTATCTTGACAAGCAAAGCTATGCATCAAACTAACCGAAGGGAGAAATCGAGCAGGGCAGGACTGTTTCGTGAACGCCTAGAGCTGTGTGGCAGGCGCCAATGATGGGTATCGTGGTAGTTTTTCCTCACTTTCCTTGCGCGCGGTTCGCTACCCCCGCGCGCATCGAGGTACCGGGAGCGACTGGGTGCGACCAGCGGAAAGGGGCCTGAAGGCGGGGGGGGGGCCGACACCTGCTGCACGGTGGCAAGTCTTCCCAAACATCCAACGTCGTGTTTTCTCCCAACCATCCTGTGGTGTTGCCCCGCGTTCCTTCTCCTTCTCCTCCTCGCCCCTCCTTCCTCCTGCCACTGCCCTCCGCATGTGCACCACTTCAGCAAACCCAGTACAGCGCTTCGTGACCCCATAGGGAGCTCCACCGAAGGCCCCAGTGTCTGTGACCACATGAGTCCCCGCCACCCATGTCGGCACACCCCTCACATGTTTCTTGGCCACATGGGGGGCTCCCCCGAAGGCCCCAATGGCTGTGCTCGCCACCCATGTCGGCACACCCTTCGCACGCTTCGTATCCCCATAGGGAGCTCCACCGAAGGCCCAAATGGCTGTGACAACATGCGCCCCTCCACCCATTTCGGCACACCCCTCACACGGTTCGTGGCCCTATGGGGAGCTCCACCGAAAAACCCAGTGGCTGTGACCGCATGCGTCCCCGCCACCGTATTAGGCACACCCCTCACTTGCTTCGTGGCCCAATGGGGAGCTCCACCGAAGGCCCAAGTGGCTGAGACCACATACGCCCCGGCAACCAATTTTGGAACACCTCTCACACGTTTCGTGGCCCCATAGGGAGCTCCACCGAAGGCTCCATTGGCTGTGATCACGTGCGTCCCCGCCGCCCATTGCGGCTTCGTGACTCCATAGGGAGCTCTACCAAAGGCCCCAATGGCTGTGACCACATGCGTCCCCACGCCCCCTTTCGGCACACCCCTCACCCGGTTCGTGGCCCCATAGGGAGCTCCACCGAAAGCCCCCCCTCGTTCGTTGTCGGCCCCATATGGAGCTCAACCGAAGGCCCCAATGGCTGTGATCACATGCGTCCCCACCGCCCATTGCGGCACACCTCTCGCACGTTTGGTGGCCCCATAGGGAGCGCAACCGAAAGCCCCCGTGGCTGTGACCACATGCGTCCCCGCCACCCATGTCGGCACACCCCTCACACGCTTCGTGGCCTCATAGGGAACTGCACCGAAGGCCCCCATGGTCGTGACCACACGCGTCCCCGCCACCCATGTCGGCACACCCCTCACACGTTCCGCGTTCCCGTAGGGAGCTCCACCGAAGGACCCAATGGCTGTGACTACATGCGTCCCCCCACCCATTCCAGCACGCCCCTCACACTGTGTCCCCATAGGGATCTCCACCGAAAGCCCCAATGGCTGTGACCACATGCGCCCCGGCCACCAATTTCGGCACTCATACGCTTTGTAGCCCCATAGGGGGCTCCACCGAAGGCCCCAACGGCTGTGACCATATGCGTCCCCGCTGCCCATTGCGGCACACCCCTCACACGCTTCGTGGCCCCATAGGGAGCTCCACCGAAGGCCCCAGTGGCTGTGACCAAATGCGTCCCACCACCCATTTGGCACCCCCCTCACACGTTTAGTGTCCCCATGGGGAGCTTCACCGAAGGCCCCAGTGGCTGTGACTGCGTGCGCCCCCCCGCCACCAAAGCCGGCACACGCCTCACACGTGGCGTGGCCTCATAGGGAGCTCTACCGAAGAGGATACGCACCACTGCGGTACTCACAACTGCATATGGTTCGGTTGTTCGCCAGAATAATGTTTGAACCGTAGCTTTCCAGAAATCTGGACACTTTCCCGAGATCTGGCCTTTTATCCCTAGCCGTTATTTGACAGTCCCGGGGCCTGGCCAGGGCCCCCAGACGCTGATGATTGTCAAACGCCGTCAGTCGTGCTGTTTTCGACGACGCGAGGATGTCAGGTCCGCGATCTCGGCCGCCGGACGAGTGAGACCTCCTGGGGCACTGGGCGCGACACATTTCCAGGCAGGTGCCCGGCGGCGGGGCCGAAGCAAGCCGTGCGCCTGCACTGGTGGGGAACCGATAGGGGGGGGACCAGCTCAGAAGGGCAAGCAGAGCCCTGGAATCGGCGATGCATCGCCAGTAGTGCGGCGATAGGCCCTCGATGGCACAACCGCTGGTCCCTTGGCGAGGTGCGCTAAAGGGCCCCTATCAGCAAGTAGTGGGCATCTGGGGGTCGATGCGTTCCCCCCTTGGGCCTATTCCCCCTCCCTTAGCGTTGCCCCTTGGGGGAGAGGAGGAGGGAGGGCTGGATTGGGGGGGGGGGCGGCTTACTCTGCTCTTCGAAGTGAAGATGCCCCTTGTGACCCGTGGAGGGGTCCCCCGGGAGAGAACTCCTCTCGAGGCGGCTGCCCGATATGGGCGTCCCCGAGCGCGCCCCGCTCGCGCCTCGCTGGTCGCAGCTGTCATCGCACGCCGGAGTCCAAGGCCCACGGCCAATACCCCCGTCTGGCGCTGCCCCCAATGCGCGCAGCAGATCTTCGTGGCCCCGCCCCTCGGCCGCCCAGGCGGGCGCGTCCTCGAGCCCCGCCTGGATCTTCACGCGCTGCCGCAGCAAGCGCCTCGCTGGCTGGCGGGGCCGGCCCAACCCGGCCCGGCAGGGTCAAAGGGAGGGCCACCTCCAGGGCGGCCACGCGCCCTTCTACCCAGGCTTTTCTGTGCTACAAACTTGGTTCCTGGATGCTGTTTCTTGGGCCTGGGAACGTCAACAACAGGACTCGGGATGAAACGCAGGTTCAGAGAAGGAAGGGGTCGAGATCTCCAGGGGCCGGCGACTCGCAAACATCGAGTCGTCGGAGGTCTGGGCAGCCCTACTGCGGACCAGAAGACGGAGCACACTGTCGCACGCACAACTACACATCGGGTGATGTGCTACTCGACTCAAGACAAAGCGAGACCCTCAGTGTGGTCGCCCGCCTGCAGGATTGACGAGCGTGATACATCTTTTCATCCGCCTGGGCCGCAATTGTGCAGATTTGAGCGTCCACTACTCGGACTGGGACTTCATGCTAAGCTCTTGAGCCCTCCCCAGATTTAAAAATTGTTTTTTTCCCAACCATCCTGTGGTATTGGGCCCTCGTTATGAAGAGACCGCGCCCCGCATCCTCCTCTCCTCCTCCTCTTCCCCCGCCCCCCTCCTCCAATCCGTGCCTCTGCCCTCCGCACTGCCTCTGCCCTCCGTAGTTCTCTCTCTCTTTGTTGTTTCTCTTTCTTTCTTTCTTTCTTGATTTCTTTCTTTCTTTCTTTCTCTCTCTCTCTCTCATAAACACACGCACACACATTTCGTGCCCTCGTAGGGAGCCCCCCACTAATGCCTAACTGCCAGAGTCCGCATGTCGTCGCCGCCTCATCTCGGCACACCCTTCAAAGGTTCATGGCCGCATAGGCAGCTCTAGCGAAGGGCCAACTGCCAAGGTCCGCATGGCGTCGCCGCCTCGTTTCGGCACACACCTCACACGCTTCGTGCCCCCATGGGGGGCTCCAGGGAAGGCCCAAATGCCAGGGTCCGCATGGTGTCGCCGCTTCATGTCGGCACACCCCTCACACGCTTCGTGCTTCCATAGGAAGCCCCAACTAAGGCTCACATGCCTGGGTCCGCATGGCGTCGCCGCCACATTTCGGAACACCCCTCACACGTTTCGTGGCCCCATAGTGAGCTCCAACTAATTAAGGCCCACGTGCCAGGGTCCGCATGGCGTCGCCGCCTCCTTTCAGCGCAACCCTCACACGTATCGTGGACCCAGAAAAAGATCCACCGAAGGCGATACTCACAATGATGGTACGCACTACTGCATACGGTTGGGTCGTTCCGCCGAGATAGTGTCACAACTTCGCTCCCCAGAGGTCTGGACCAGCTCCTCACCCCGAGTCGTTTTTTGAGGGTCCTGGTGCCCGGCAAGTGACCCCAGGGGCAGCACAGTGTCAAACACCGTCCGTCGTGCTTTTGTTCCACGGCATGCGGGTGTCAGCGTCGGCGTGCTTCTGATTTTTGCCTCGCCAGAGCTCCCTCGTACCAGACATGCGCGCACGGCTGACTTCGCGCGCGGAACACGCGGAGGCCACGCGCTGGATGCACGCGCGGAGGGTGGGCGCACCAAGCCGCGGTGGCCTCCCTCTTGCTCCCCCTTCTCCCCCCATCTCCCTCCATCCCTCCCTTTCCCTCCTCCCTCCCTTCTTCCCTGCCTCCTTCCCTCACCTCCTCCTCCTCCTCCTCCTCCTCCTCCTCCTCCTCCTCCTCCTCCTCCTCTCTCCCTTCTCCCTGTCGTTTTCTCTCCCTCCCTCCGTCTACCCTCCTTCCTCCCGCTTCTCTCCTTCCTCCCTCCTCCCTCCTTCAGCCGCCGCCCCGGCCCGAGAGGATTTGGGTGCCTTAGCAGGTAAGGCGACCTCTCGCGCGGGGCAGCTGCTAGACGCGCCCGCCCCCCCCCCGCGCGCCCAGCGACGGCGCGCAGCGGGAGGGCCAGCCGTGATCGAGGCGGCGAGCCGGCCTGGCACAGACGTGCCAGGGCCGACAGAGGCAAAGCCAGGACTCTGCTGCGTGTCGCCGCCGCCAGTGAATTGGTAAGCAACCACCACGGCAGCATGATGTGGACATCCCAGCGACGTAGCAGGCAGCCCTCACGCTCACGGCAGTCATCGCGCCGCCGAGGAGCACCGTGGCAGGGACAGCAGCAGCAGCAGCAGCAGCAGCAGCAGCAGCAGCAGCAGCAGCAGCAGCAACGCTACCTTTGGGAGTGTTCAACATGCAGCTACGTCAACAAGTGGGAGGCCACGAAGTGCGTGCAGTGCCATCCGCAGAAGCAGCAGAACAGCACGCACAACAAGACAGACTCAGCCTCCATGCTTGCTCCATGGAGGCGCTCAGGCTCCCGTCGACCACCGAAGAAAATCAACGAGCACGAGGGCGCGCTGAACATCCTGCCGTGCTCCCCCGAGGAGGCCAAGGCGCACCGCCGCTGGCAGGAGCCCCCGACCGCCAACCCCCAGGAGCTGGGAGAGTTCCGCAAGGCACTGGGCTCCACCCTCGAGGGCCTCGAGCGCCAGATCCTCTGCTTGCAGGAGCTACGATTGGGAGAGACCCAGCTCCAGGCCCCCAGGCTCGAGTATTCAGTTGTGCCCTACCAGTTGATGTACTCCAGAGCACCGGGCGCAAAAACGGCGAAACAGCTAGGTTTCGTCAATCGTGCCAAGCGCAGGCTCGCAGAAGCCATGAAGTCTCAACGGGAAGCCGGAATGTATATGGAGGCGTGCAAGAACCAGTCGCTTGCACTGCAGAAGGAGTTCGACTTGGCAGGAGAGCTACTTGACAATGACAACTTCAGGGAGCTTGAAGAAATTGCCACTCAGGAAGAGCCAGATCGCCAGGTTGCAGAAGCCGCTCGCTCACCAGTGACCAAGCGTCTGCGTCGTCCGTGTGCCTCTGACTACATGGATGAGGATGGTGGTGAAGAACTTGTTCGCGTGCCTCTCCCTGCAGAGGGCACGCGCAGACAGCGACGTGAGTGACCAGCGACGCCCAGTGGAGCACCCCCTGCTTCGCCGCCGTCAGGGCCACGACCCCCCCGCGCGCCGTCTACTGGTGTCCCGCCTGTAGCACCGCCGAAATCGGGCCCACCGGAGATCGGATCGAGTGCTTCAACGCCAGGACTACTTGCGAGCATTCAGCATTCTCAGCAGACCCTGTTGGCACAGTTGCTCGATTTCAAGTCAGCCATGACGGAGATGCAGAAACAACACACGGAAGCCAACGCTGGCCGCAAACCAGATCGAGAAGCCCCCCGGAGCCAAACCACGGCGTTGCAGGAGCCAAGGCAAGCGGTGGCAGTTGCAGCACCACCCGCCAAGCAGAAGGAGCAGCTAACACCTGAAGTTCGGGCGGAACGCCGAGGCCGCCTTGAAGAAGCACTCGCCAAGGGAGCAGCCCAGGGCACCCGTGCGCGCTCTACCTCCCCCGGGCGCCCCAGTGGGCAGTCCGCTCCCAAGACGGTGAAGATCAACATTGGGGAGGCCAGGGATTCGCAGCATGCGCGACCTGACGAGCTTCGCCAAGGCGATGCCCGCGGGGTGGGGCGGACCGCGTCGAGCCACGGCCACCCCTGCGAGGCGCGCGCCCCACGCGCGCCCGCGCCTCGGCGCAGCTACGCGCCCGAGGCTGCCGGCCAGGCCCCACCCCGCGCGGCCCGCAGCAGCCTCGCCACCTTGGCGGCCAAGCCTGGCGAGCTGCTGCGCTCCCGCGTGCAGCGCCGCGGCCTCGGCCAGCCGCCTCCGCCGCCCGCAGCCCCTGCTTCGCATCGAGCAGCAGAGCCACCTGCAGGCGGCATGCTCTCCTCCTGCGACCTGTCCTCCAAGTCCACGCTGTCGCCGCCCGCAGCCCCTGCTTCGCATCGAGCAGCAGGTTCACCTGCAGGCGGCTGGACCTCCTCCTGCGACCTGGCCCCTCTGGCCTCGCGTGGCGGGGGCGGTCCGCCGCCGCTGCCACCTGCAGCCACCTCGCCTCCTCTCTCGGCAGGGCCCGCCTCAGGCCGCTGGCTCTCCTCCTGCTGCTTGGCCACCTTGGCCGCCCGCCTCGGCGACTGCGAGGGCGGCGTCAGCGCGGCCTGCCTCGGCGAGCTGCTGCGCACACGCGCGCGGCGCCTCGGGCCTGGCCCTCCGCCGCCGCCCGCAGGCCCCGCCTCGCCTCCTGCCGCGGCCTGGCGCCTCGGCGAGCTGCTGCGCACGCGCGTGCGGCGCCGCGGGCCTGGCCCGCCGCCGCCGCCCGCAGGCCCTGCCTCGCCTCCTGCCGCGGCCTGGCGCGCCGCGGCTGCACGCCTGCCGCCAGCTCGCCCTCTCGGGCCAGCCGCCACGCTGGAGCCCCCAGGGGTCAGGGGACGCAGGGAGTCCTCGCCCTCCCCCTCCCCGCCACCTGGAGCTCCTCCTGGCGGGCTCAAGGAGTGGCCGTCCTCCTCCCCCGCGATGTGCCGCGGCGGCTGGCCTCTCCCATCCTGCACGTCGTCCGCCAGCATCGGCGGGGGCGGTCCGCCGCCGCTGCCACCTGCAGCCACCCCGTCTTCTCCCTCGGCGGGGCCCGCCTCAGGCCGCTGGCTCTCCTCCTGCTGCTGCTTGGCCACCTTGGCCGCCCGCTTCGGCGACAGCGAGGGCGGCGTCAGAGCGGCTTGCCTCGGTGAGCTGCTGCGCACGCGCGCGCGGCGCCGCGGGCCTGGCCCGTCGCCGCCGCCCGCAGGCCCTGCCTCGCCTCCTGCCGCGGCCTGGCGTGCCGCGGCTGCACGCCTGCCGCCAGCTCGCCCTCTCGGGCCAGCCGCCGCGCTGGAGCCCTCAGGGGTCAGGGGACGCAGGGAGTCCTCGTCCTCCCCCTCCCCGCCACCTGGAGCTCCTCCTGGCGGGCGCAAGGAGTGGCCGTCCTCCCCCCCCGCGATGTCCTGCGGCGGCTGGCCTCTCCCCTCCTGCACGTCGTCCGCCAGCATCGTGATGTTGACTGCCACCTCGCTGACCACCTTCGGAGCCAGCCCCTTCCTCAGCCTCGCGACCGCGGCGGCGCCTGCAGCCGAAGGGACACTCTTGCACTCGA